GCGGATGCCATGGTCTTCCCGGGCGAGTCTAGCGCGAGCTTTCTTGATCTTGTTGCAGGCGGATTTGTGCTGGGGCCGGTGGGCGACCTGGTGCTCGCGGCTGCAATAGCGGAATGCACGACACCCAGCGCATCGAAGAAGTTGGGAGCCAGTTGCTGGGCATAACGGGCAGCGGTGACAGAGGGGCCCTGTCGGGCCTTTGTACATGCTTACGCTGTCGCTGTGAGTTTCGCTGACGGTCCTCCAGCCGCCTCCCGCAAATCTGCGCAGCAAGGTTGGAGTCGCCATGGCGGCCGAGAACACACACACGGCAGGATTGTGTAGAGGAAAGAGAAAGGGAAAGGGAAAAGGAACGGGAACGGGAACGGGAACGGGAAAGGAAAGGGAAAAGTCGAGGCAAGTCACAGACGGCTACATGCCTTCCAAGGTTGATCCTAAACCAGGTACACATATATTCATGGATGTATCATGTATGGATGTACCCAAGGCAGGCGCCATGTTCCGAGATCGTTTGCTGGCTTTGTTTGTCGGTGGGTAGGCAGCAGGGATTCGCTGGTCGTCACCGTACTTATCTCAATTGCGTCTTTTGACATGTATGCTCTTCGCTTTGCTTCGAGATTTGCCTCTCTTTCGACACAGGGCAACTATTCTTGGGACTGTGATGAACCCATAGCTGGGACTTAGGCTTCATTGCGATACGCGACGCAGGATTGCTTCCTACCGTACGTTGGGTCACAGCCAATGTAGATGATTACCATTTCATGAAGTAGGCGGTGAGCTGGCTTAGCACTCTGCAGGTCCGCCCACCGCTTCTCAGGAGACAGCTTATATAGCCTTTAGATTTTTACAGTTAAGGGAAGAAGTACCAACTAAATTGGATCCGTGAAATGACCTATCGACCGGGATCGGCAATAGAAATCGAGAGCAAAATGACGTTGCTTTTAAGAAGTGAGCAATACAGCGGAAGAAGATAAGGAGGGGGGATTGAAACAGGAAAAAGGTAAATAAATAAAGCACGTACAACACCAGGGATTCGCTGGTCGTCACCGACCCAACTACTATATACAGAGTGCTGCCCAATTCATTATGCAGGAGATGCCGTCAGATCACATTGGAAATGAACTGGGTGTTGTTCGTAGAATAATTACCAAATATTGTTTAAAGTAACCAGATGCTGTTTTGTGTTGTTGGAGTCGCGATTTTTGGAGTGAGTTACGGGTCCCACAAGTAATATGGTAAAAACGCTACTAAACGTGCTGCCGTTTCAACAAAGACGGCAGAGCACTCCGTTTAATTCTCAACACCAGAGCTGTTACCTATCGTCCCGATACGCTAAACCCTTAACCTACCTACCCAGGTAAAGTATATATTACGCACATGTATTTTATTTTATACAGTTGTATTTAACACCCCGTAAACATATTTTATTTTAAATTTAAACAAGCTTGTTTAAACAGATTAAAATACACGTAATATGTTATAATTAATTAAGTATAGCTAAGTGTGGCGGTGTAGCTAGGCCGATGTAGGAGAACATAATCTAAGTGCCCTATATGTCCATGTGATTACTGCAAAAAAGGATGGCCATATTGTTACTGATTGTCCCAAAGTGATCCCTTGCGCTTATTGTGGTCAGAAAGCTGCATACTGTCCCCAAGCTCGCCTTGTGAAGAAAGTTAAATCGAGAGCGAATACCACATTGGAATCCAAAGCAAAATTAGCACCAACAGCTGTATCAGGTATAACCGTGACGGGTCTGGAATCACCCTGTCACGACAATGACCTATGGTTTAGTCTACCTCGAGAAGTCCGCGATGTAGGGTTTTATTCTACCATCCTTTTAAATGTTAAATCTTACCAACCATGCTTAGGATGTTTTTGTAGGTGAACCACTAGAGTTTCCAAAGCTAAGAGCTGTTCTTAGAACAACACTTGATAACGCAGCTCGACAACAAATCCTAGGGACCGATTGTCTACCTTATAGTGACTTCGTTACGGGCCAAGGCAACCTTTATATTGCTTCAGACCATTTGTTGGAAAGATATATGTTATGAATTCCACCGCAAATTTAGCCCTAATAGGACGTCCAGTGCTATAAGAGGGATATTATCTAAATTCCGTTATCCACTCCGGACTTATCAAAGGGACGAAGGAGGAGCTCGATTTCTTAGACTCCTTGTCAGGCTCAACGAATTGAAAGGCGATCGCACAGAAGTCCGAAGAAAAGTTCGGATACCGGCTGAGTGAAACAAGCCTCTCCAGCCGAATGTCTTACAACAGCCGAGATTCCGGAATTAATAGGCAAAACACGTACACGAAGGAAGAAATCTCTTTTTCAAAAGAGTTCAAGGCCGCTGGGGAGAGTTGGAACATAGTTTTGTCTAGGTTTCATGAGAGGTTTGGTCCAGGCCGAACCTTGATTGGCCTCCAGACCAAATGGTGGCAGCGCTCTGAAGCAGCTGAATAAGTAATTATTGTGCTTCTGCAGTGCGCTGATCTGAATGGTGGGGGTAATTAAGGCGGAACCTGGTGAAGCAGAGTAGCCGTAATTTGTTTCGAGTAATCAAAACGTTCATTCACTACCTTAGCTGAATAATGAGAGACATAGCAACCTATCCTTTTAACAGCCGCAATTTACTCCGTGACATAATTACATAAGCACCAGACAAGGATAGAATCACCTATGGTGATTAAATAATTTTGATATTATTATCATTAATAGCAACATGACAACTGCCATTGATAATTTACTTAAAGCTGAAAAAAGTAAAGACGGTGGCGTTGCCCTTTGAATCAGGGACATCTAAGATTACCTTGTCTGTGTTGCAGCTTCCCATGCCGATTTGATGATGCAGTACTAACCTTCATGTTTACCGACACGTCGTAAACTCTGCTGCCGCCCTCTCCAGAAGGATGTTGCTATGCGGATAAATGATTCTATTCCCAACGGGCTAGCCACCTCGTGCAATCCGAGGATAATCTTGTCCGAATACTCCACGAGGAATTCTATTCCCCTTTGTTCCACTTTCTCACTCGCAAGTAGTCGTAATCAGTGCTAGTTAGTGGAGAGATGTAACCACATTGGTTTCCCTTTTCCTCGGGACTCAGACAATGAGGTCTAAGAGAGAATGAAGCGCGCCCGTGGTAATCGTCCGGTGTAAATTCGCTACAAATTACGCAGCTTATGCCGCAAATATTGTGGCTCTTCTGAGAGGCCAAGGCCAAAGGGGGTAGATATGGGTAGCGACCACCTTTAGAACCCCACCCTCTTCATGGGTGGTGGAAAATGTAGGTAAGTGAGGGAGGGAAACCCGCATGCGCGGATGGGAGGGGGTGTAGCCCCTTTATCCCTTTCAGTGCGGCCACACCTCCGTAGGTAGCATACCTGGCTCTATTTTCTTTCTAAGCGTATATTACTGCAAGCGAATAATATTGAAACAATTCAATTATCATAGGTTATTGTCCTTGCCTAGTACTTATGTATGATTGCAGAGGTGTGGACGCACTTAAAGGGATAAGGGGTTGCCGAAGCATGTACGCATAGCCCTGGCCTTATTGAGGATTAGAAACTGTAACAATTACTATGACATCTATCAATTCCAAGAAGTCTTGTCTCTAGTCCAAGCTCGGCCCCGACAGGGTGAAAGATGAAGCCCGCGGAAACGCTGCAGGGGTTTGTGGATACACCTCTCGAAGGTGTCATACAGAAACAGCTCAGATGAATCGCAGTGCATAGTCAAGTTAGAAGGGCGCAAGGGATGTTAAATTGGCTGCAAAGAGCATGTAATTGCTCAGGCCATTAAAGCTGAACTCCATTTTCCTACTTTTATTCTCAACTACAGGAATCATGTATATTCTGACATTCTTTCTGGTTTCCATTCTCCATGAACACACGTGTATTTTGGCTAGCCGGCCTTTACTATAAGCCCCTAGTTAGGGAGGGGTTCGCCACGCTGAATCTTGGCCGCACCATATTTCTCCAGTCGGATCCCCTGTACAGCAATGTACCCGTTGGCAATTGAAGGATCGCCGAAAGCGTCTAGTGAGTCCATGCTTAATTCATTATCGCTGTAAAAGTTACTCTCAGGCGCGGATCGAGACAGAACATGAGCTGCGCCCTTGTAGACCATCATGTTTACTGTACCATGAACGTGTTTTTGGCTAAAGGCGATTGTGTTGTCTTTAGGTCATAGTTAGCTAAAGAGATCGGAATTTTCGAGTATCAATAGTTTTAGGGCTTACCGAGAAGTTCCCGCTCGGGAGAGAAGTATAGGCTTAGATTGTAATTGTAAGCGAGTTGTGCTACTCGATGACATATACCCGTTTAGGATCTGTTACAGAAGACAGGAGAAAAACGAAATTAAAATCATACCATTATAAAGGCAGGCAGACCATTGGTTTCCAATATAAGCCATTACCTCCTTTACTTTAGCATCTTGGGTAATCCCCTCAATATCAATGTGTGCAAGTCGCAAGAAAGTCATAGCAGGGGAGTCGTAGCAGCCTCTTAACTTCAACCCGTTGCTTCGCGTCTCTACGATATCGATACGCCTCACGCCATTTTTACCCGCAATCTCAACTTACAGACAGACGCGACCTTTGGACATTGTCACTTGATGATGGAAAACGTTGCTGGAGACAGTTGGCGGAGAGAAGTGAGAAGCGAGGAAGAATTGGAAGTAGGTATTGATGCTCCCCGATATCGCAACAAGTCCCGAGATAGTGGGGGAGAGCGCCAATGGAGTGCTTGGAATAGCGGCAGATAGTGGGGTTGCGAGCCCCAGTGGAGCTTGGAGGGGCACCTACGCTACTACTGCAGGTCCACGGGTGTCTCTTCCCTCGGCTATCTGTGCATGCACGCGGTTTATTAACCTAGGCCGGCAAGGCAAAGGTCATCACCCAGGGCGAAGGGCTACCAACTTTAGTACGGCTCCACGAATATAGTTTAGTAAGAAACCCTGATCTCACAATTGGAACAGGCCATAACCTGTGTTCACTAGGCCCGGCTGGCGTAATGGTTAACGCGTATGACTTCTATAAATGTAAGCGATCATAAGATTGCGAGTTCGAGTCTCGCGTCGGGTTTTTTTTCTATATTTATTTTTTACACAAGTAATGTTGGCTAGCATAACACCTTCGTAGTTAGCCGGCCAAGTCCAACAACACGAACTCATTCTATATATACCTAAACACTACTTACTTACCTACTATGAACAGGTCATGGGGTAATGGACATTGTTAATTAGTTACCTCCTTGACCAGTATTTTTTCAATTCTGCAAAACAGCTACAGCTGGGCTAGGTGCAGTCAATGAGTGTGTTATCATGCCGCTCTAGTCCACTCCCAACCTATACATATATACCCAGGTAAGTAGGTAGGTAAATGTGGCTATTAGGCGGAGATATCCGCACCAATCGAGACCTTAGTTAGCACAACTTACAAATCCTGAAAGAAGATCTAAAGGCTTTCATGTTTGTTTCCGGCTAGCTAGATTTAAAGAAACGGTGAGCTATTTGCAGAGAACCAAGTAGTTTAAGGTTTGCATCTTGACGTTATAATGGAAAGAATCACCACCGCTGTGGCTCCAATCCCGCTTGCTTGGTTACGGTCGGGAACCGCTCGCGGGCATGGAGGTGCGGAGAGGGGGGATAGTGGTTTAGATTCCGAGGGGACGGTTGGTGCCGCCGACTCATGTCTTTATTCACCTAGAAAAACTTTATGTCGCCTTGCCGAAGGTCCAGCTAAGGGAGGAAGGCCATTCGCCCGCAAAGTCGCCGTAAATTCCCGGGGGAAAAGCCAAGGAGGTTGTAAACCCAGCCTTAGTTGATGTAAGTTGGGGTTTTAATAAAGGCCTGGTGCTGCGGAACTTGAAAATCCATTGATAGGAGTTGTGTATATCTCGGTGCTCAAGCAACTCATCATAATATCATTGTAGTATAACTATAAATATCTCGCATAAGGGACCTCGATCATATGATCTAACATCATAACATACCTACTATGAAAGTAGGTTCGAACACCGGGCCAAGCTCTCTAGACGTCCTAAAATAGGCCAGCAAAGCCGCCTCTAGAATGCCAAGGCCTCGAAACAGGAAAAAAAAAACTAACAAATATCAAAGATGCCCCTGTCAAGTGAAATTAGCAGGGGAAGTTCGGTACGCTGTAGCTGAAGTTTTGGTGAATTAGCTATTGTCGAGCGAGATTGATAGGACGACCATCTAGTCCAGACCATCAGACCAAGACAAAAGAAAGGTCGAATTTAGAGCAGTTACGGTAGACGGCATTATATGCACATATACAACCCACAAGGTAGCATTATAAGCGCGCTAATACCCTTAAAGGCCCGAATAAGAGTAACCACCGTGATACAGCTATACAGTTCGAATTCGGCCAATGGCCAGTGTGGCGGGAACAAGGCAAGTCTAGAACCCGACTGAATGATCTAGTGTAAAGCTTTACACCGGAGCCTAACACGTTGCAATGCAAGTGGCTTACAAATAAATAAATACATATATAGATAGAAATATGCGTCTAGCATCTGTAAGGGAGCGCTAGTTTAAGGGGAGGGGGGCGGGAAACAATCTAAACATTAAAGCAACGAGCGAGGGCCGTTTGTTCTGCTATCCAGGTACCGAACGATACCTAGCCTTAGTACCGCCAGCTTAAAACTCACATTGTTATACACTAAACTACTTGCTCCCAGAGACTTTGAGCAGAGATACTCAGTGCCTCTACTCTGTACTACTGCCCAGGCGTGTTGCATAATGTTCCGCGTCTTACGCCTCTTTTCACTACCGCGGCTATGTCGCTAGTCCATAAATCTCATGCCTTACAGCAATATAAAATGAGATAAAAGAGAGCACACGTAGAAGGAATTAAACTTTCGCGCAACGCCAGGTGTCTATACCCAGCCTTTGTGTAGTAAACTAATGAGAGGAGTCCTAACATGTCTAAACCTAAGAGCCCTTCAGAGAAGTTTATGACTACACGACAGCAGCATGTCACAGCTGATGATTTATCCCCGTCTTTACTGCGAGGGTTCGTAAGGTCTTCTATATAGCTAGAAGGCCGTGGAAGGGGAGAATTGCTTTCAATGTCCACCAAACAAGACTCGCAGTCAAATTAGAAAAGGATGCAATGTAAAAAAGAGCAAAAACGTACAACACCAGGTATTCGCTGGTCGTCACCGACCCAACTACTAATCTGGCGGTATCTAGCTTAGCTATGGGGGAGCGGACGGGACCCCGCGTTCTCTAGATCCTATGGTCGTACGTGAAAGAATATGGGACAAAGAGACATTATATCAATCAGTGTGTGCGCTGAGTCCTATGGAGGTATCGACAACAATCGTGTTGTGGGCTCGTTTATCATTCCTCTTTATTAGTACTATTATTTTGCAGCCATTGGTTATGCTAACGCCCTTTCACCCATGGTCCGAATAAAAGAATATAGATTAGAGTGATCGCGTAGATAAAGCATGAGGCAACTGCAAACGTATCAGATTAAAAGGAGATGATATCTAATTGATGTTCTCCGTAAAGGCGCAATGATCTACCTACGTCAAATGGTAATATTAGTACTCATGTGACAGCGTTCATTACTAACCTACCGTCTCTACTCATCTTAGGTACTTCACCGTACGCCCCTATATAGTTCATTAAACCCACCCAGCGCGAATGTGTGACTCCTTCACACATTATGAGCCGCCAGTCGCCTGCTGGTAGGAATGTCGCCCATCTATAAGACGAACACTATATAGGATACGGGAACCCAAGTTACTGACGACGAGCTGCTGCACGACTCGTGGGAGTTTCCAGTTCATTGAAACGGACTCGAGGTGCTAGAATTGCTCGGCAGATGCAATGTTTGAGGGAGGGGTACTGCCGTCACTATTCACGAGCAACTTCACCCGTTACACCCAAAGAGAGAGGACCTAAGGATTCCTAACAATGAATGTTGTCTGTATTTGGAATAGTTTTGCAATAGGAAAATATACCTATGTAGAAGAGTTCAAGTATGTTGTCACACTTTCCCTGCCCTAGCCCCCTAGTTTACCGATTCTCTGACAACAGAGACTCACATATATGTTGTATTAGGATCATGACGTATAATTGCCAACAGCCTAAACCCATGCAAACGCGCTGTAGTAGCAGAATAAATAGATTCTTCAATTGAGAAGGGCGGAGGTGAGTGTGACAAACTGCGCGGGTAACAAGATTGGCAACCCAACCTAGCATGTCAACCGAACTGATAAGATTAACAAGTAGGCCAACTAGCCATCAGAATAATGTGTGACTTGCTCCATCGGAGGTCAATTGCAAACACCGTCGAGTAGCACATTTCCGGCACATTGATAGAGATCGATGGAGAAGTGAAGTACATTCGTTCGCCCGCTTCGCGCATGAGTGTCCCTTTGATTCTGGTGGATGTGAGGGTATTCAACGGGCTGAGCGGACGCGGGTGGCGTTGGTTTGATAGGGCGAGAGGAAGAGGTAACCTCGCTATTGGTAAGTGAGCTGATTGGCTGCTTTCCCTCTCGCTTGGCCGGGCCTACATACCTAATATCGAGCGGTTCAGGAGACAGTGCCACCATCTGACGTAGGCGTCCATCAGCATAGCACGGCGACAGTGTCTTATCGCGGGAGATGTATACGTCGACTTCAGCATTTGCCGACAATGAAAATATGTCTTGTATCTATTGACGCACCTACCTAGGTATCTACCTAGGTACGTATAGATACTATATAAGTATGTAGCCAAGCAAGCAGGGTGGCCAGCTCAGCCTTATGTAACATTGAACATTGGACTCATCTGAACGAGTCGAATCGATTGCTGAGTTCTTTCCTCGGGGGGTTATCGTACCGTTGCAGTATTGCGACGGCCACAGGCGAATACGATTTCCCACATTGGAAAGTATCTACATGATATCCATCGATGTGTTCGCTCGCTCGCTCGCGATGGTGTGGAGGCGACTCGGTATACCTAGGCATGTTGTATGGACAATCCAATGGCAACTGACGGTGGCAGCTATCAGTGCTGTAAGCGAGGTGCACAGATAAACCAAACGGCCAATCTAAATGATATTATCATTGATTGTTGTCGCAGGTCCGCCGCTCCTCTCGGCCCGCTGTTTGCCCCAACAACAGCTTCAATCTATATGCGACCAGCTTGCACGCCGTCATATCATGCGTGCTGGGCAGGTTTGCTCATCTTGACATCTTCGACCTGCAGGTATCCAGCCTCCCGCTCATCTACAGCGCAGCCGGCAGGCCAAACGAAGGTTTTCCATCTCCTGTGCGACGTTGGCTGCCGTCTGCACTCCTCACTCCTCACTCCTCACTCAAACGACATCAGACATACATACATACATGTACATACATGTAGGCGGCTTATCAGGCAGCTACCTCCACACCTCGGTTACAGCTACCCAAGAGCGACATCTTAAATGAACGAGGGAAAAAAGCGATCCTGTTGCACGCCTTCATTCGAAACGTCAAGTCCTGTGTTACAGGAAAAACCTTGTGTCACCCGCACGTTTCTACACGACCAACGACTTCCTCGTGCTAGAAACAGTTCCAACACCAGACCTGCTCTCATTTATTCCACACATCTCCGACAGGTCAGTGCAAGGAGAGGCCTTCGTCCACGTACTCAGCTCTCTAGATCGCTGGCCCCTCCACCACAACCTCTTAGCAGCGCCAGATGACCGCCAGAGACTCCCTACACCCTTGTTTATCCACTCAACTTGCAATATAGGATCGGCCTATTCACTATTCTAGTCACTATCACCGCACTATTGAGGACCTTGCACCCCCCCAGAAACCCGACAGGCTCAGCGAGGGCGTGGCATGTCACGCCTCCGTCTCAGTCTCAACTGCTGGTGAAGGTTGTGTCCGCTCTTGGCCATAGCAATCATGCTTGAAAATCCTCTCCGCAGGTCGGCGAAGAACCCTTCGACCGGCCCTGCGGGAATTCGCCGCCCGGATTCACCGGTCGTCAAACCGCAGCCTGTCGGTCCATCATTTGCTCAAAGAAAAGCCCTCCAACCGCGGCCATCCGATGCCGTGCTCGTCGAAGGCACTAAT